TGGTAGCCCCCGCCCCTCCTCCCACCTGAACTTCAGAGCCAAGTGCAGGTCCTGCCTCCTGCCAAGGCACTGCCCCCTGGGTGACAGACACCCTCTGCAGCTGCCTGGGCGAGGGGAAGGGTCTGTTGCTGCCTCTCTGATTTGAGCCTAACTCTACAGGGAGAGGATCTGCGAGCTTCCCCCTGCGTCCCGGAGAGCCCGCCTGGACCTTGGCAGCAGGCCCAGGACTCATGCCCAACTTCGGGCGCAGGCGGACGGAAGCCTGGTCACAGAAACCTGGCTGCACTCGCCCCGCTGCCCCCTTCAGCCTCAGAGGGATGCTTCCGATCCGAGGCAGAGAAGCAAGGCCCCGCCCCTCCTCTCCCTGGAACTGCATGGCAGTGGCTCAGTTCCGCACTGACTTCCCCACCCAGGCTCAGGGGCAGAGGAGCTGGCCTTGTGCCGAGGGAGCTGTGGCAGGCAGGCAGGGCCATCCCTCGCGGCTCTGCCACCATGCCCGCCAGGGCCCTGGGGCGCTCGCCTGCCCGTGCTGCTCCCTGGGCCTCTGGGGGAGGAGCAGCCTCCCGGGACAGGGACGGCAAGGGGTGGAGCCTGCATGAATTTGGGGGTGCCATAACAAATGGCCACAAACTGGGTGGCTTAAAACCACAGAAGTGTGCTCTCTCACAGTCTGGGGGCCAGAAGCCCCTCATCCAGGTGTTGCAGGGCTATGTTCCCCCCAGGGCTCCTTCTCAGCCCCTTCTCTTCTGGTGACTGCTGGCCACCCCTGTGCTCCTTGCATCAGGGACACACTGCGCCCATCCCGCCCATCGTCCCAGGCCCTCCTCCCTGTGTCCACGTTTCCCTCTACCGAGGACCCCAGTCCTGTGGGAACAGAGCCCCCCCTGACAGCATGCCGGCAAAGACACTTTCCAAATAAGGTCACGTTCATCCGCACCAGGGGTTGGGGCTGGAACCTCTCTCTGGGGGACAGAGTTCAGCTCAGTACAGAGGCTCAGTGTGGGGTCCCCACTGGCTTGGTCATAGGTGGACCGCAGGGAACAGTGGGGCAGGGCTGGCCCCCAGGGTGTCTGCTGTGAGACTGGGCACACAGAACACACAGCAGGAGCAGGGTGGCTCCTCCTGGTCCCCAGGCTGTCCCCTGCCTTTCCTCTCCTGCCTCTCCAGAACCACAAGGTGCTGTGTCCAGCAGAGAGGGACCCCAGAGCCCCCGCCGCAGGTGGCCCTGGGGCTGAGTGCCAGCCAGCCTGGGGGCAGGGGCTGTGCAGAGGCGAGGTCCGGGCCGCCCTTGCCAAGGACGTGCACTTGAGCTGTGCTTTGCAGAAACTGTAAAGATCGCTGGGTCCTTTGAACAGGTTGCCCTAGTTTTGAGGTGCCTCCGTGAGGTCCCCCACCCCCTTCCTAGGGCTGGTCCCCTTCTCAGGGCCAGCAGAAGCTTCCAGTCCCCAGGTCTCCTTTGTGTGCCCTGGCCCTGGGTGTAGTCACCTGCCCCAGTGGTCTGGTACGAGAGGGAAGGATGGAGAAAGAGAGGGAGAGAAACGTCGGTTGACTGCCTCTCCCGTGCAGTCTGCTGGGTCCCGGCTGGAGCATTGCCTTCCTCCCTCCAGCCTCCCGCTTGCTCAGGGCCGTGCGCGCTCTTGGCTCTTGGTGTAGGTGTAGCTTCCTCTAACCGGTCCCTCCTTGGTGCGCGTGCAGGTCGGAGGGGGCGTGCAGGTCGGCCTTCTTGAGGAGGGGTGTCTCTTTGAGGCTGATTTCATTTCTTTTGGAGAAGTGCGAGGAGAGGACATGGTGTCTCGATCGATCGTTGGGTCCTTCACACTTGTCATCGGGGCCACAGCACACCAGGGTCCCCGCTCCTCGTAGCTGCTGCGCTCATGACGGTGTGAGTTGACACCCCACTGTGGGTTTGGCTTGTGTCTCCGTGATGGTGGGTGATGTGCAGCTGTGTGCTTGGTGGCCGTGTGTGTATGTTTTTTTAGAAACATGTCTATTTAGTTTCTGTTAGAAATGGGTGAGAAATAGAGGCAGGAGGAACCCAATGATCTGACCCAGGTGCCTTTATTCAGTGCGGTGCTTACAGGCCAGCTGAGTCTGGATGGAGGGCAGCCCCAGGGGAGGCCGGAGGGGGTGTTTGAAAGAAAAAGCGAGGGGCATGGTGGGGTAGGGGAGGGGTTAGTCCGTGTTCTCCGGGGCGGGTGCCTCAGAGTTCCGGGATGTGAGCCGGGACCGTGGGTCAGGTAAAGGCCACGCTGCTCCCAGGTACAGGAGGGTTGGTGTGACCACCTGCCAGCGCCACTGGGGCCAACGTCTGTCGTGCGCAGTGGGAGTTTCGACAGAGCCACGGGTCGTGGGGTGAGCCGGGATGCCTGAGTCATGGGCAGCCCCGCAGGCTGGGAGGCCGGCCCGACCCTGTCAGTTTCCCTGCCTGTTTTAAATGGGATTGTTCGGGGGGTGTTGAGTTCTGCGTACATTTTGGATACTAACCACTTGCCATGTGCGTGATCTGCAGACGCACTCTCCCACTCCGTGGGCCCTAATCGCTTCACTGATGGTTCCCTCTGCTGTGCAGGGGCTTTTCAGATTGAGGTCATCCCCTGTTTGTTTTTGCTTCTGTCACCTTCGTTTCTTGGTGTCCAATCCAAAGAAATCAGCACCAAGGCTGGGGTCATGGAGCTTACTGCCCGAGTTTTCTTCTCGGAGCTTCATGGTTTTAGGCCTCACATTCAAGACTTCAGTCCATGGATTCACAGATATTTGTAAACGAACATTTGAGAGACCAAGCGAAGCTCCTCTCCGGTGCCCCGGCCGGTCCCCGGCCGCTGCTGCCCAGAGCCAGCCAGCAGGGCAAGGAGCTGAGCACCCGAGTGGTTGCGATTTTCTCAGCCAAGTCTTTCCCAGGGTGGGCGTGGGCAACAGATACCGACAGCTGTCCGTCACCCAGACCGTGCCGCTCGTTTCTGAGAGCAGCGCATCTCCCGGCACCTTTGTGCGGCGGGGCCTGAATTCTTAGTTAAGGGGAAGGTCAGGGCTGGTGAGCACATGCTCGCTGGCTGTGCGCCACGCCCGCTGTTGAACAGCAGCTGTGTGATCTGGTGTGACTCAGCCCCCCGGCCCTCCCAAAGGCACACGGACGGTCCCCTTGGGCCTGTTTTACAGACAAGGACATGGAGGAAAGAGAGTCTGGGCAGCTCACCCAAGGTCTCTCAGCTTTTAGCTGCCTCCCCATTGCTGAGGAGGCTGGGTGGCCTGACGGTGGCTGCTGGGCACGTGCTCATCGCCTGCCTCTGCACAACGGGAGCCCCACAGTGGCTGGTTGGGGTTCCAGAGGTTTCAGGGAGCCTCCCGCCTACTGGTTGCCCATGGCAATGGCACAGTTTTTCCTCTTGGGGGGAAAAGAGGTGGCAGTTCAGTTCTCCTTGACCTTGAGAGCTCCTGGCCCTCAGTCCCAGGGAATCGGCACCTGCCACGTCCACTGCCGCGTCCACTGTTGGATCCCTCTTTCCGTGACAAGGTCCTGAGAGGGGGTGTAAGACTTCAAGGAAGCAGTTTCCAACCTGGTGGACGTGGCATGGAAGGCCTTGCAATACCTATTGTGATTGTGCTTGCTTTGGAGATCATGACCTTTTTGCTTTAATCATTATGAATACCCTGGCAGTGATTCAGATAGTGTGCCTGGACCTTTCCCGGCTCAATGAACAGAATAATAATATCATACTAGAACGTCAGGGAATATAGGCACAAGGAAACAACCAGAACAATCTGAGAATTCAAGCTTAATCAATAACAGATCGTTGGAAAAACACCCAAGATAAGATAGAATACTCTAGGAAATCAGGAGATGATCTCACTACTTTCTTAGAGGGTATCAAAGTACAAAACATGTCTATAAAAGAACTCCTAGAGAAACTTAAAAGAAGTACCCTTAAAAGCCCCCTGCAACATAGGAATAGCCCCTCCTTTACCTTGAATAAGAATATATATCAACTAGACAGGCAAAGAAATAACAAAAGCTAGTTAGTTATTACAAACTAAACAGTCACTAGGGAGTCAGAATTTATAGTACACAGAAAAACATTTTAAGCAAAAAAAAAAGGTAGATAGCTAAGTTAGACATCACAAGGGCCTTATAATAAATCTATTTTCTCTACTCAGTCTAGCGTATCCTTATGCCCTATACCAAATTCTGAGAAACTTTAATATACAATAAGATATTTTTAACTGTCTGATTAATGGCTCTCCTAGTTAAAATAATCTTTAACTAAATCTATGGGAACTTTCGTACTTTTACTGATTACCTTTGTATTGATTTTTTCTGCTTAAATGATCATGTTATACTGCAAATATTAATCACTACCTGAAATGAAAATATAAAAACCTGCTTGTACTTGCAATAAACGGAACAGAGCTTCACTGTCCTTTGAGGCGTGTTGTCGTCTGTTACCCAGCGCCGACGCCTACCCTCACCTGTGGGACCCCTTGACCCACTGCGGCTGGACCGCGGCAGGCACCCTTGGGTGCTCACCAGGACCTCAGCACGTTGGGGCTGCTGGTGAGCAGCGTCCACCCCCCCACAGGTCTCCGCGCTGTGGGGGGGCTCCTGTTCCCAGAACGGCCGGTCCTCTAGGGCACCTGACAGCGGTGCTTGTCCCCGGGTTTGCTCCCTCCCAAGGGGCCACAGCCTGTGTCCTCGTGCTCCCTCACCTCTGCTGGTTGTTGGGAACGTGGAGGGGCAGGCGTGCTGGGACCCTGTAGCTGTGCCAATATCTCCCTGGCTTTGCCAAAGGTCCTCGCCCTCGCCCCTTCCCAGTCTGGGTTTTGGGGGAAGGAGACCCTCTCTCTCATGGAAACAGGACCCTTGTCAGACTGCCGCCCCACCTGGAGCAAACCCCTGCACGGTTCTCCTTCTCTGGGAGCTGCCAGTCCCTTTGGAGGATCTTGTCCTCTCCCCAGGCTGTTCTGTTCACAAGCGACATCCTGCTTCTCGTCTCTCCTCCGCCCAGGATCATGCGGCCAGACGATGCCAACGTGGCCGGCAACGTACACGGAGGGACCATCCTGAAGATGATCGAGGAGGCGGGGGCCATCATCAGCACCCGGCACTGCAACAGCCAGAACGGGGTAGGCGAGGGGCCCGCACCCGGCAGGGTGCAGTGCAGAGGGTTCCGGGCTCGGGTTCTGGGGGCCGAGCAGCTGTTGGGTCAGGAAAGGAGTCCGTGTTGGGGCGCTGCCCTTTTCCCCACTTCCGGGCCTTGGGGGCTTCTGGAAGCTTCAGTCTAATCAGCCATGGGCAGGGAGGGCCCCTTGCAGTGCTGTTTGGTTTGGGGCTCAGCAGGGAGGGAGGGGTGGGCACCAACAGAGACTAAGCCGAGGGCCTGCCAACAACCACCTTTAAGCACTCCCCCCTCCTTCCTGGAAGAGTCCCGCTTCCTAGAATCATCCTGGACTCTGCAATTCACTGTCATGCCTGTGTGGGTGGCAGTTATGCTGTGAACACCAGATCGCCCTGGGTCCAATGCCCACCCTGCCCTGACTGACCCCTGGGTGGCTTGTGAAGTGCACCCCCCCCCCCCCAGGGACGAGGACAGGGCTCTGATTTTAGGACTTCAGGGCAGCTCTGGGCATGCCCATCACCCGCCACGCCCCAGCCCTGTGGCACTGGACATCTCCACCTTTGGGAGCTGGGGTGTCTGTCATGTGCCACAGCTGCCAGAGGGCCATCAGGAAGCATGTGGCTCTGTGTGCCCGAGGCCCCAGGCAGCCACCGGCTGTGCCGGGGAAAGGAAGGCCCAGTGCTGGCCTCGTCCAGCGGCTGTGCTGGGGTGTGTGCCTGTGTGTGTCACCTTAGGCAGGGATGGAGGTGGGTGGGGCTGGGCCTACGGGGGAGTGCCGGCTCCCCAGTCTGACTGGGAGTTCGCTTTTATCCTGGTGTCCTTGTGATGTGCAGAGTGCGCCCTCTGGTGGCATCGGGAGGATGAGCCTGAGACTGGGGGTCCGGAAGGGCTGGGAGGAAAACGCCCCAGGTCTGGGAGTGAGGGTGCAGCAGGTCAGTGGGAGATGCTGCGAGGACAGTCAAGTGGTCCCCACAGCACTCCTGAGAGGCTGGGGTTATTTTTACTGCCCCCCTTGCGCAGACAAGGAAACAGGCACAGGGGGGTTGAAGAGGGTGAGTACTTTCTTGAAGCTGCAAGGCTGGGCAAGTGGTCGGTCTGGGCCGGGAACCAGGCCTCAACCCCTGGCTCTGAGCTCTGGCTTCTCCTCCCTTCTTCCCCGGAGTGAACCTGGGGGGTAAGAGGGACAGGTTTGACATGTAGGCTTGGTGACACCTCGGGGCTGCAGGCCCCGGGATGGTGATCTGCAAGCCCATGCTGAGCAGAGGTGGTGCACCCTAGGGAGCACCAGGTGGCCGGGCTCAGACCTTCCTGGGGCTTTGCTGGGGCTCGGGGTGGGTCCAGGGGCACCCCCGTTCACACTCCCCTGGGGCTTTAACACTGTTCACTTGTGAGGGTCTGTCTCCAGGCCCAGTTTCACCTGGATGCTTAATCAGCCCCTTGACCTTGATGGGCCCAAAACACCCTCTGGGGCCACCCCCAGGTGGCTCCGCCTGCACCTCCCTCCCAGTGAATCACCTGTGTGGCCTCCAGTTGCAGCCTCTCCCCCTCCCCTTCCCACTCCCCCATTGGACACTGGCCACCAACCCCGCTGGCTCCACCTGCTGGGTGTTTCCAAATCTGCACATTACATACCAGCTTTGGTACAACTCACCTGAGCCACCACCCAGCCTCCTGCTCAACCCTGCCCACCCGCCTGTTCTACAATGTAGTCAGAGAGGGCCCATCACTCTGAGAGTGGCTCCCACCCCACAGAGAGTACAACTGGAATCCAGGAGAGTCCCTATCCCTGCTTCGCCTGGCCATCCCCAGAGGCCTTTGCACTGTCTTCCCTCTGGCTGGGCTGCTCTTCCAAGTCCAGATACCCTCACAGCTCCCCTCACCTCCTTCCAGTCCCTGAACAACCTCCACAGGGGCCTTCCTGGCACCTGGCTGCCTCCCCCTCCCGCCATGGGTCTGCACCACACTGGCTTCCCACATGCCGCACATTTGGCTCTTTCATCTTTGGGCCACTGCCCCGACCAGATCGCAAGCCAATGAGGGTGGCGACTCCTGCCCACCAGTGCCCCACCGGGTGCCTAGCCTGTGAACCCAGGCCTGGGACATAGCAGCCCCCGTAGCTATCTGCTGATTGTTGGGGGCAAGGTCTGGAATGGCCACCTGGTACAAAGCTTCCTTTTTTTTTTTTTTTAAGATTTTATTTATTTATTTTTAGAGAGGGGAAGGAAGAGAGAAAGAGAGGCAGAGAAGCCTCAATATCTGATTGCCTCTCATGCACCCCACGCTGGAGACCTGGCCTGCAACCCAGGCAGGTGCCCTGACTGGGAATCAGACTGGTGACCCTTTGGTTCGCAGGCCCGGCGCTCAGTCCACTGAACCACACCACCCGGGGCCAGAGCTTCTTTAAAGAAGCCAATGACCACCCTGAGTGCTGTCTTCCCTTTCCTGGGGCTGGCTTTCCAAACGTCATGCAGAGCTGCCCTCTCTAGGCTGGCATCAGCAAGGTGCGTGCGGGGCCCGTGCTGCCATGGAATCACAGTAGTGAGAGCCAGTTGCTTCTGGACTTGTTTGGCCACTCTCCACCCCAATCCCATACTTCTCTGAGAAGGGGACACCCACTCCTCTCCCCTCCACGCTCACCTGTTACCTGTATTTCACCAAGAGACTGAGACATGGAGCAGGGACGTCTCTGCCCAAGGCCAGGAGCTCGCAGGCAGCCTACAAGGCCCAGGGCACAGCGCTGTTCGTTCTCGCTTTGCTTCTAGAACTGCTGTCCTGCTCAAGCCCCGTGGTTTGCGGGGACCTCTGCCCCACGGGCAATGTGATGCTGGTCCCCTTTGGGAGCAGGGAAGAGGGGGCTTCTTGGGGTAGAAGCTAATTGGGCTGCTCATGGCCACTTCCCAGGGTGAGGACCGACCCTCCCGCTCCTCCCCCCACCCCCAGGAAGCAGAGCAGCGGGGCCCAGGGGCCCTGAGGTCTGGGGGTCAGAGATGCTTGGACGTGCGGAGCACCTACAGGCAGTCGCTTTACAAATTGAAGGCAAGACCAGCCAGAGCATTAGCACGCATGGCATCGTGGTGGTCTGAAGCCAAACGCAGTGTGGCTCTGAGGTGGGCCTGTACCCATCACTCCACGTTTTGACTTTTTGATGATACCGGTCTTTATGGAAAGCACTGGGGGTGGGCCCAGCGCCCTGCTAGGTCCTGGGAAACAGCAGCTCACAGTCAAGTTAGAGCTGCCCTGGGTCCCCGTCTGCACCTTGGCCGGACGTGGAGTCAGCAGGAGCCCAGCCACCTCTCAGGCCTCCTCACCTGCAAAACAGCAGCATGTGGCCACCACGTCATGCAATAACAATGTGAGAGTGTGGTAAGACTCCCGAGTGGCTGCCCGCTCAGCAGCAGTTGTCACGGCAGTATTTTAAACCACGACAGGACCAAGCTCAATGTTTCTAAGTGGCCTCCCCACTGGGAAGGGCAGGGGCAAGGCTGTCCCAGGTGTCCCTGTGCCCACCCAGATGCTTGGAACAGGGCTGTATTCAGTGTCCCCGGGCAGTGCTGAGAGCCCTCTGTGTCCCCTGCCCCAAGCATTCCACGGGTATTTTGGGTTCCTGGCGCCCCTGGGAGGAACACGAGTACACTTCCCTGCAAACTCACACCGCATTTGGTCCCGAATGTGCAGACCAAATGTGAGTTGGCCTGCTCTAAGTCCCTGGCCGGGCCGGGCCCTCTGCCCCGAGCCCAGCCTCCAGCATCCCATGGCTATCTGCCCGCACCCGCGTGTTCTCAGCTCCAATGCACCCTCTCTAGGAAGACCACCAGTCCCCTTGTCTGAAGCCTCCCCTGCCCACGCCACCCCCTCAGAGCACCCGCCACCGTGTGGCTTTACCCTGTCTGTCATTTATCATCCGTCCCCACCAGCCAGGACCCAGGCCCAGGGCAGCTGCCTGGCCTCCTCCCCCAGGGCCAGCGCTGAGCACAGTGCCTGCCTGGCTCCATGAAGGTCTGAGTGAAGGGTGGAGCCAGGCCCACCCAGGCTCAGACGCGTAGCCACGTGAGAGACCAGCCCTTTCCATTAAAGGTATTGGTGCCTGTTCCCCGTGTGGGGGTGTATCCATCCCCCGAATCAGCCGCTCTCCAGTACAGACCCTGGTTAGTTCTGGTCTGGCTCCTGTGGGCAGAGCTTGGAGAACTGAGAAGCAGCCTTGAGGCTGGTCTCTCATTCCTGGCCGCTCCGCTGTCTTTCCAGCTTTCTGCCAGTGGGTGGTGCTGTAGCCACACAAATTCACTTCAAATATCTCTGCGCCCCACCCCCCCCTTCCGCCACAACCCCTCCAAAAGCTGTGAGTGGGTGACTTGTGTTTGCGGGCCTGCTGGGGGAGGGGAGGCGCAGTCACCCTGCGTCCTGAGACCTGGCTCTGGGCCATTTATAGGAGAAGCCTGTCACAGCCTGTAACCCTGTGTGCCTGAGAATTGCTGGGAAGTCCCGTGGGCTTGGGGTGGGCCGGGGAACCGCCCTGTTTGCCCAGCAGCCCGCAGTTCTCATGCAGGTGCCGGGCCACAGGCGGCTGATGGTGGGGTGACGGTCACCTACGAGCCTCGTATCTCCAGCCTGCGCAAAGGCGCGGGGCCTGATGGGCCATCTCCTGCTCCCCACTGCTCCCCCCCACCCCCAAAGACCCATGTCCCTCTGCTCAAACACAAGATGTCCCCGCATCACTCGCTCAGCACAGGCGGAAGATGCTGGCCCGTTGGGGACGTCTCTGGGAACAGAGGCCACAGGATGTGCCCATTCCACCTAGGAAATGGCCCCAGCACAAAGGACAGCGCCCGCCACAGAATTAGTTACAGCGAACCGTTGGGACTGATCCGAGTCTCTAACGACAGAATGTTCCACTCTATCTGGCCATTCACTTTTTTTTTTTTTGTAATGAAGCGTCGCCCACTTGTAAAGAAGAATGAGCAGGTCCTTCACATCCCGACACAGGGCGGGTGGGCTCCTGCCCCGTGGCTTGCAGAGGCCCTGTGGCTGTAACCCAGGGTCATGCCCTCCCTGGCTGTGCCCCTCCGTTACCCAGCTTGTCCTGGGTGGCTGGGGACCAGTGACTAGAGGCTGACCTGGGGCCCTTTGGTTCCTTTTCAATTTTCAGTCAAGAGGTGGGCTGCCTGGGTGAAATATAAAGGAAATTTAAATAAAAGAACAGTGATTGCTAAGAGCTTGTCGTAACATGGGCAGGTTGTTCTTCCTGCTGAGTGAAGAAAGCAGACCGTGAAAGTGCAAATCTATCTCTCACGCAACTAGCTAAGCACTAGAACTGCAAAACAGGGAACACGGCGAAGGAGCAAACGGTCCAGTGACACCCCTGTCCTGGGGGGGGCCTGGGAGGGAAGACCCTGCAGTCCAAACCGCGGTCATCTTTGCCGGGTGGAGTGGCTCTCCCTCCTCCTTCCCGTGGTGCTCAGATTTCCCACAGAAGAGTGTGTGTGTCTCCACTGTTCCTCGTGCAGGCAACGCCTGTCTCCTGTGGAAAGGCCGGGTGAGAGGAAGAGCCGCCCGCAGGCCCCCCCACTCACTCAGCGTGGCCGGCGCCGTCTCTCGGAAGGCTTCCCCCGGGGCGTGTCTGCACCTCCTGTGGTATCCACTTGAGGAGCATGTGGAAAAAGCCGCCCCGATGTGGGGGACATCTCTGGGGCGTGGCGCGCGGCCCGGCTGACCTGCACCTGGTCTTTTCAGGAGCGCTGTGTGGCCGCCCTGGCCCGGGTCGAGCGCACCGACTTCCTGTCTCCCATGTGCATCGGCGAGGTGGCGCACGTCAGCGCAGAGATCACCTACACCTCCAAGCACTCGGTGGAAGTCCAGGTTAACGTGATGTCCGAAAACATCCTCACAGGTACCGCGTGCACGTCCCAGCTCGGGTGGGAGCCCCAGTGACAGCAGCAGTGTCGACACCGCAGGAACCGCCTGTGCCTTGACCCACGGAGGGTGGACTCTGCCCCAGGGGCTGGTCCAGAGGCTGGCTGTCTGAGAACAGCCTCCCGAGACCCTGCCCCACCTGTGAGCGGTGCTCCTTGGAGGAGGGGCATGAGCACAGAAGGCTTAAGCATTGAGCCCCAGGTTGGGCCCCGGAGCCCTGGCCTGCCACTCTGGTCCCCAGTGTGCTCTGGTCCCCAGTGTGCTCTGGTCCCCAGTGTGCAGGCCCTGCCTGCCTGCCTACCTGGGGCAGAGGGGAGGGAGGGGCTGGGGTGTCCTCCAGCTGAGTCCCCCTACTCCCTCCGCTCTACACCTCTTTCCCTTCCCACACCTGATTCCCTGCTTGGAAAGCAGATTCAGGATAAAGCTCACCGGGCAAACCTTTGACTCTGGTTTGATCTGAATATTCTCTCCCTTGGCATGGTAACCATGGAAACCCCTTTTTGTCCTCCCACTGGGCACTGCAGGGAAGTGTGGCTTTGGTTCCAGTTCGCACTGGTGCCGGCTCCTTTTTTATAACGAGGCTGCTGCTGAGGAAGGCTGGCCCTCCCTTGGTCCCCTGGCTGCTTACCCCCTGCCAGCCCCAGGCACAGTTGAGTCCGCCCTGGCCTGGAAGGAGCTGCCCGGGCCTGGCACCCCTGCCGATGCCCCTCCTCGGCCGAGGCTGCCTGCAGGGTGCTGCGCTGGAGCTCTGTGAGGGGCTCCCGGCTGCCCCGCCGTGGGCAGGGGCACTGCTGTCCGCCTGGAGCCCTGGCGGCCTCACCAGGCCCAGCCACCGTGAACACAGTGAACCCTTGGCTGAGCTGGGGCCTGGCCGGGCAGCGATCCCCGCACCTGTGCCCAGTGGCCCACCTGTGGCCCCAGTCCTGCTCTCAGCAAGTGGCTCTGCCATCGATGGGACCTTTTGATGCGGGTCTCAGGCTGTGGCACAGAAAGGGGTGCCCAGGCACTGTCTTCCCACAGGGCAGCTAGGGGTCCCTGTCCTGCCCCTGGGAGGGACGTGGCTGTGCTCCCTGCCTGCCCGGACCCTCCCGCTCACCCGTGGGTAGCCATTCTGGCAGTACTGTTTTGTCTCCGGGTTTTTCCGGTGTTGGAGTGAGAGGCTTCTCAGAACGGGGTGGGGCCTGCTTTACAGATTCCCCGCATCCCCCTTTCTGTCATGTGAGTGGAACCCCCTCCTGGTGTGTGGAACCCCCACAACCCTGTGAGTGGAGTGCGAATGGGGGGAGGGGGAGGGGGATGAGGCAGGGGGCTGGTGGAGAGGGCTTCCTGGGCTCTCAGAGCCGCCTCCCCTCCCGGCCTCTGTCCCGAGTCCTGTTCCTGTCAGGCCCTCAGGAAGTGGGAGGAAGAGGGTGCCCTCACCAGGCACCCAGGGTTGGAGGTGGCTGCCTCGCCGCGGGAAGAGGGAACGGGCGGGTCCACTGTTGCATCGCCAGCTGGGGGCGGCCTTTTTGAGGAGAATGCACCAGAAGGCACAGGACAGGCCCCCGCTCCTCATGCACCTGCTCCTTTGAGGGCGCGGCTGCGTTTCCAGGTGGTGGCGTCTTCGCTCACAGGCTTGGGCTTGGTGCCCACCCCGAGTCGCATCTGCACACCAGCACCGTACGTGTCTCTCTCTGTGCTGGCGGCTTGCTCAGGATGCGTCATAGAGATGCCTGGGGCCCTGACTCGCCCCCCAGGGCGGCTCTCCTCAAGGGGACGTTTTCGTGGTCCCAGCTGGGGCAGGGCTACTCTCCTCCAATGGGTGGAGGCCAGGGACAATGCTGCACCCCCTGCAGTGCACAGCAGGGTCCTCCTGGGAAGGGTGGTCCAGCCCCAGAGGCCTGGCCGTGGTGCTGGGCCGAGAACCCCCCTGGGGTCATGAACTTCTGAGAGAGAGAGAGCCGTGTTCCCCTCTCCCTGGCAGCTTGGCCCATAGCTGCCGTAGACCTGGTAATTGATGAGTGGACAAATGGCAGGCAGTTGCCAGGAGGGTATAGGCTCCACCCTGAGAATGAAGGAAGCACCAGAAGGAGCTGTGAAGAATGACACGCTCACTTTCTAAAGGGCCGGCCTGCTGGGGGCAGGAGGGGCTGGAGGCAGGAGGCGCTTGCCCGGCCGTGTTGGGATGAGGGCGGACCCGCAGAGAGGACAGCCCCCCGCCTTGTGCCTTGTGCCCTGTGCCAGTGAGCATCCGGCCTGGTGCCCTCGGCCCCGCCCCTGCCCTCAGATGGGCCCCCGGACCTGAATGCTGCCCCGAGGAGGGAGCCGCTGGGACGGGCAGGCAGTGCTGCCCCTTTGAGCAGAGGATGAGAGGCTGGGCTCAGAGGAGGCAAGGGGAGGGCGGCACTGCCCAGCTGCCGAGATGGGCCGGGGCCCTGGGAGCTGGGGCTTCCCTCCAGGTCTTGGTCGTCTTGCCCCCGGGGGCCCACGTGCCCTTCCTCACCCTCCTCCCTGGGCCTCCCCCCCTCCCAGCCCGCTGTGCGTCTCTGCCTGTCACCCCCTCCCCATCTTCCCATGGGTCGATCTTCATGTGCCCGCTGCTCTGGGACCCTGGGGGTCTCAAGACCTCCCTGTCCTGATGCGCCTCTCTCTGCCCGTGTGTGTCCCCTGGGATGGGAGCCCTCTGAGGGCAGGGCTTGTGGCTGCCTTGTCCACTGTGGTCCCCCCACGCCTGGAGCAGTGCCTGGCCTGGTCGCCCTCAGCAAACACAGGCGGACTGGGCGGCAGTGGGGTTGGCGGGCACTCGGCCCGACCGGGCTGACCCAGGAAGCTGTTTGTGCGCCACCTCCGAGTTTCTCAGCCCCGCCAGGCAGGAGTCCCCCAACCTGTGTGTCCCCTTCCATCTGGGCTGCGTTGCCTGTCAGGAGGTGGCTGAACAAGCGCACACGCAGGCATGCAACCAGAAAACCTTTGCCTTCGAGACGGCTCATTCATCGCTGGCAACTGTCAAAATATTAAGCAAACGGGGATGTGATTGCTGCGAATTGCTCCAGAAAATAGCTGGGAGCTCTTCAGATTTTAAAATAGATGTTTCTAATGCTGCAGTTGCCTTTTGATGGTTTTATTAAATGATGGAGAAAGTATAATTAGAATGTTTTGCCTCATTTGCTTCATGGCGCTCATTTAGGTCTAGGGGAGGGCCACTCGGGTTTCCATGGAAACCGGCTTGTCAGGCTGGGTCCCGCCGAGTCAGACTGGAAATCTTTATTCCCAAAAGCGAGTTGTCAGAGTCACTTTCAGTCACAGTGCGGTGAAAACACTCTCCGTACTGGCCTCCGGTCCCCGAGCACGAGCGCCCGCTGTCCCCATGCCGCTGTCGGACCAGGGCCGCCCCGCCTCGCTGCAGCTCTGTGCACCTCGGGCTGCGCGCTGGGGCTGCCATGTTGAGGGAAGGGGGCTGCAGCCCCGGGTCCACCTTGGGAGGGCAGGTCAGAGGAGCGGCCAGGAGGTGGGTCCTGGAGGGACCTCGGGGTCGCAGGGCTGCTCCCCGCCTTCCCCGCTTCCTGTCTCCCCCATTTCCCTGCGTTCCTCGGCTTGGGACTCTTCCGTGTTGACAAGGGAATTTTTTAAAGACATACTTGCAAATACTTCCCTGAAATGGCTGGGACCCGGGAGGCCTGGGTTTGTCCTCAGAGTGGCACCAAGTTGCTAGGTGGCCGTGGACGACCCTGTTGACCTCTCGGGGCATCCGGCTCCTCCTGTACAAGAGAGGGGCAGGGGCCAACAGGTTTCTTGTGGCCCCCGTTTCTCAGAAGCCGGGGCCGCCCCCTGCACCCCGAGGACGCTGGGTGCCCCGAGGAAGGTTTTCTTCCTGGTCACTCCGCCCGGAGTGGAAGTCAGCAGCCCACACTCCGTCTCTCAGCACTCCATCTGGCAGCTCCTGAACTGGCGGTCTGAGTCAGCCACAGAGCGAATCCAGTCTTCTGGGGGCACCTCCCGCCTTGAAGGGGACGACCCTTGTCGGGCTGACCGAACAGCCGGGCTCTGGGCTGTGGCCCCGCAGCACCCCCTTTCTCGGCTGCCCAGGGCTGCCCCTCTAGGCTCCGCCTCCACAGCCCAGCACCCCCGGCCTCACCAGTGCGTGTGCTGTCATTTTTCCAGCCCCATCTGGCAGGAGCTCTTCCCGGCATTTAGCCAGGTGGGCGGGTCTGTCAGTGTTGCAACCTTGCATTTCTCGGCGGGTGTTCTTGACTCTGAAGTCAGTGTCTGCTGGATCTGTTGGTGGAGACCCTGGCTCACCCTGGCACCACCCTGGCTTTGTCCCCTCTTCTCTGGCTCGTCTCTGTCTTCCTTGGGAGGCAGCTGGCAAAGGGGTGCTCCCCAGGCTGGTCTGCCCCCTCCCCACGGAACTTCTTGGCAGCTGGCAGCCCCTCGGAGGCTTCTGGTGTGTGCGAATGGCCCAGCTTCCCTTCTGCCCGAACACCTGTGAAGATGGGCACACCTGGTTTCAGGGCCCGCAGGTGGGAGGCTCCACGTCAGCAGGTGCTAGAAGCCGACAGGCCTGGGGCACCCACCCCCAGGCTTAAGCCAGGTGATCTGAAGTCTCTCCAGCAGCCTCTGGAGAGTGGCAGCACTGTGGGGGGTCCCCTTGCTGGGGGGCTGTGCTTGTACCTCAGCACTGAAGAAGGCCTTGGGGTCAAGGGTCGGAAGCAGCAGGGTTTCAGCCCACCCGTCGGGTTCCTGGTGCCCCTGACCTCTTTCCCGGGGCCTTCACTCATGTGGTTTTCCTTCTCCAAAGGTACCAAAAAGCTGACCAATAAGGCCACCCTGTGGTACGTGCCCCTGTCACTGAAGAATGTGGACAAGGTCCTGGAGGTGCCTCCATTTGTGGTAAGGAGGCCCCCTTCCATTTCTCACTGGGGGCAGATGGCAGATGGCAGAAGTGCGGTCACTCTTATGATGGGGGCGGCGTCCCAGGGCAGTAACAGTGGGGGCCGAGGAAGGGCTGTCCCTGTCTAGGGTCTCAGTGCAGGTTTGATTCAAGCTGGGAATGTGAGAGGGGGCTGGCCCAGACCCCAGGACCCCTCCTCCCTCGGGGCCCTGGTCACACTCTCTGACCAGAGAAAAGGCACATAACAGGCCCTTCTGCCTGTTGGTCTGAAACAGGTAGCCAACATTTCTCCAGCAAAATGGGTTTGTTCTGGAGCAATGAAGAATTGCAATTTGCCAGTCTAGTGGCAAACTACCCACAAATCCAGAGAACAGAAGAGAGGTGGGCTCTTTTATAGAGGGAGGGGGCGTGCAGAGGAACCGTTGTAAACAGAGAGTCCATTGGAGGAAACTGGAAGTCCAAAGTGTCGTGGCCTCTCATTGGCTGAGCAGTTGCCAGGAGAGAAGACCCTCCTCCTTCCTGCAGGAGTGGTAGCCTAGAAAAACTTTTCCTGCTGGGTGTGCAGAGTACTTCTTCCTGTCTGGGGTGACTGAGGATGGGTAGTAGGAGTGAGAGCCCTCGGACTTTAATTTAAAGAAGGTTTCTGGTCACGGCTGGTCACGTGCTGAGCACCAGGCCGCCACTGCCTGTCAGTCAGTCCCTCTGGGCCCTGGAGAACACAGATGTTGAGACAGCTCTGGTTCAGCCTCTGCCCTTGGTTTCTCCCAGTTTTGTTTTAAATTTTCCATCACCCTCTCAGTTTGGTTTTGGTGTTGACAGACACGGCTTTGCATGGAGAGCTTGGGGGGGTGGGTCTTAGCTTTGGCTGCACATTCGTCGAAAACATGCAGCCTGTTCCACTGGCTGGGTTGGGGGTGGGGGGGCAGCAGAGCCAGGCTGTGGGCGTGGGGGCCACTCTGGGGACCTGCCGCCTGGGGAGAGCACTGTAGGTGTGGCCTGGATTCTGCATCCTGTGCCCAGGAACGAGGCTTCGGAAGGGATGGGGCGGGTGTGGGCTACTCAGTGGCTGAGGTTGCCAGAATGACACCATTTTAACAGGGACGAAGCTGGGAGCGAGCTGCGTGCCCTTTAGAACAGACCCATCACACGAATTACCTTACGTTGATGCAGCAAGAGGGGGAAATGCTGTGACGTTTTAGCTTCACAAAGTGTGAGAGAACTGTTGTGTCCACATGGGTGTGAACAGAATTCCGGGAAGAATAAGCTCTGGGGCAGGGTGGGGCGAACTGAGACTTTCACCCTCTGTGGCTTTGTCACCTGTACGCACCATGTGCTCTCGGAAGCAGGGCCGTCCCGGTCGCAGAACGGGAGCCCTGAGCGTCTGTCCACCCCCACAGTATGCCCGGCAGGAGCAGGAGCAGGAGGGCCGCAGGCGCTATGAGGCCCAGAAGCTGGAGCGCATGGGGACCAAGTGGCGGAACGGGGACATCATCCAGCCTGTCCCAAACCCAGGTAAGGCAAGGGTGCCTGCAGGGGCAGGTGGCTGACATCCGCTGGGACGACAAAGGTGGCTGGTTCATGAGCGTCCTCCTGGGGTTGGCAGGCAAACAGGTCCCTCCCCAGGATCACAGCCACTTGGGATGACAGGAGGGCTCAGCGGGTCCCCAGAGGAGCGCGCTTCAAGCCGAGCCCTGACTGTGAGGCCCTTGTGCCCTTGTGCCTATGGCTGGGGCTTTGCTGCTGGGCAGAGGGACTCCTGTTCGTGGAGACCGGCTTTTGTTCCCTCTGCCCCGTGTTTACTCAGGAGTGGGCCCCGTGGGCTTTCTACCTCACGTGAAACAGACAAATGGCAGCAGCTTTTTCGTGTTGGCAAGAAAGCTGTGTGGGCGCATAGCCTTCCTTCCCGGGCGTCGCCTCCCAGTCCTGGGAGGTCCGGCTTCAACTAAATGTCCACCCACTGTCCAAACAGCAGGGCAAGGGATGTTTTCTTCCAGAAAGGCTTGTTCTGCACCCCTCCCCACCCCACCCCCAGTCCTTCACAGAGGAGACGCTGGTGCGTGGACTCTCTCAGAGCAGGGCCTCTGGGCGTCCGAGCCGTCGGACACCCTGAGCCCTGGGGGTGGCGGGTCCTCCAGGACCCCTGTGCACAGTGACACATTCCATCTGAGCGAGAAGGACTCTGGAGAACGTGTCCTGTGCCTCTGCCTCGTGTGGCAGCCCGGCTCCCGTGAGGGGTGTCCCTGTTCCTGGCCGGGTTCCTCGCGGCGACTACTCCCGGGCCCTTCGCACCCCCCCCCCAAGACCCCCTGGATCTGCAGCTGCTGGTCCCTTTTAAAACCAGACCCAGGTTGCAGCTCTCTGTGGCTGTTGCCTGGCAACCCCTGAGGGGCCAACCTCATCCGTCAGGGGTTTCAGGGAGTCTGGCAGCTCCTTGCAGCCCAGTGCTCCTGACAGAGTTCTGCCTCTGACAAGAAGAGACACGGCTGCCTCGAACTCCCCGGTTCACGGCCGTCAGTGATCCTACCTTAACTGCATCCGGGTCATTGGCCGCCTGATAGGCCGTCTATTTTGAGGGCAGTCACGTCCATACCAAAATCAGCCTTTCCAAGCCCCTGGGTTTCAAACGGTGCTCACCTCCACGCCTGGCCTCTGCCAGTACGTCAGGGTCTTGGCAAGTGAGCCCAGCCCTGGTTTCTGAGCTGAGATGGGGCCCGACTCCCTGGGGTCAGCCGGGGCCTGCCACCCCCGCTGGCTGGTGGGCTCCGAGCTGGCCACGGAGTGCTGGGTGCTGGTCATGGGCTCACCCAGGCCCCCTCGTACCATTCCTGCCAGCTCTTGTGCTAGGGAGGGAGCGGGGTGTGTAGGGCCTGGGGGCCGGGAGAAAAGTGGGTTCTGGAGTCGGAACCCCTGCTGTGCCTCTTGAGTAGGGGTTCAGCCTCTCCGTGCCTCAGTTTCCTTAACTGGACACACAGGAAGGGGAGCTCTTTCTTTGTTTATGGCTGTGTCGAATGTCCCATGTTGCTACCCCGAGTACCCGACTCGGGTTTGTGCCATCATTTGGAAATGGCAGGTTCGAGGTCAGGCGCTGCCCTTGTCAAGGTCACAGCAGCTGCTGAACCTGAGAATCCTCACTCGTAACTCAGCAGGGGTTTACTATGAAGTACAAAGTGGGTGCTTCTATGGGAGTCTCCCCGTGTGGTGGGGATTTGGGCCCTCGGTGTTGTGGCCCTGCTTCTGTAGTAGGGAGCTTTGGGGCTAACTTCCAGAGAAGAAAAAGCAGGAAGGCTCCCAGGTCTGGGACTCGATGGAGAGCCCCTCCGCTGTGCAGTCAGGGTTCACGACCAGGGAAGGCAGCAGGGACACGGGTGCACGGCTGCGGTGTGGTTCCATCAGAACGTTGGTGCTTTCACTGGCGCGCACGCGGGAACATCAAGTCGGTAGCCATGGCTTCTGGGATATTTTAAGATGTCACTACAGGACTGTCGGGGCATCTCTTTGACTAGGTCATCATAGCGACTTCAAAGTTCTCATCCTTTGAATAAGTTGTTATTTGACACAACAAAGACCTTTATATACAATTCCCTGTTGTTTGAAGTTTAAACATTCTTTTATCCTTGTCCATGGGCTAATCTCAGCTGTCAAAGCAGTTCCTGAATTTGGGCCAAATTTGAGGCTTTTAGTTCCCATTGAGGCTATAAAATAGTTGCTTTCCTGTCTCTTTAGAGGGGTCACAAGGCCAAGGAAAGCGATGTGGCGGAGCCCAGTCCTCAGGGCCTCATTGCCCTTGGCCCCCACGCGGGGCTGAGGGGCAAGCCTGGGAGGCAGCCTTTGAGATCGGGGGTCAGGGCTGGCAGCGCCAGCGGGGGTTCCTCTGGTGGTTGGAGCACCCTTTGTGGCTCGTTGGGCTGCGCCCCACCACCTGCTCCCCCAGGCAGGGTCTGGGCCCCTGGAGCCCCTCAGGCTGGCAGCAGGCATGGCCCTGGTGCACCCGCACCAGTAGGGACTCACCGCTCCTCCTGTAGCACAAGGATCTCTGGTGTCTTTGCACTCCTGGGAGCATCAGGAAATGGGGGCGGGGCCTCTCATTGGGGTCGCACAGCCAGCACGTCAGTCCAGGCCAGGCCAGGCCAGGCCAGGAGCGCACTAGGGCTCCCGGCCTGGTGACACTGCTGCTTCCTGTACCCCCTGCACAAGGGCCCCCGACCTGGCAGAGCCCAGGGCAGCCCAGAGGTACCTCACGTGACATCAGGGCCTGCCTCCAGAGTACCACACGGTGGGCCACAAAAGGAGGCGGAGGGCAGGCTGGTGGCCAGAACCTCAGAGAGGGGAGCTGAGCAAGGATAGAAGTGGGACCCACCTGGTGGCTCTGGGGCTGCCAGGCCAGCCCCCGGCTCCCAGGCCGAGGTTTGGCTCCCTCTCCTCTCTGCACAGCCCCTCGGAGCAGGTGGCACTTCGCACACAAGCTCCCGACTTGAGTCTGAGTCAGTTGCCCTGCAAGGCTGGAGGACAACCAGCCTCAAAGTGATGCATTGAGAATAGTACCTGCGACCTCCGCTTCGTGCCCACGCAGGCGGCCCCACGGTGCGGATCCCCCTGGAGGGGCTGCAGAGGCTCCGAAGCGGCTGTGGAAGCTTAGGGGACGCTGGGCACTGCCCTCCTGCCTCCAGCCCCCAGCTCTGCCTGGGCTGCTCAGCAGCGTCGCTTCTTGCAGGTTTTCTGTCTCTGGCCAAATGGAGAGAGGACCTCTCTCCACCTGAGATGTGGCCCAGTGGAGGCCCGGCTGGCTGGCTGAGTCAGCAGCTCAGCGTTGCCGGGGTGGGGACAGGCTGCCCTTTCAGAGGATGCTTCCTGGGCAGGAGACACGAGTGTCCCCGTTTCCCAGAGGCTATGGGAAGGCACTGGTGTGTGCAGCACAGGGTCTGCTCAGAAGCCGCTAGATGGCCTGCACCTGCTGGGCGAGTCGGGTTGAGGTGCAGCATCGCCTTCTGGAGGCTGGGCCCAGCGCTGTCTTTGTTGGTTCAGCCACAGCACCGAGTGAGGAATGGGCTCGCCGCTCGGGGAAGTGAAGAGACCAGAGGGCTGGCCGTGGGAGGGAAAAGCCCGCACACATTCGGGTGCTGTGTGTCCCTGGGCTGGGCCCCGGACCGAGGGTGGGCAGGGGTCGAGGCTGAATCCATGGCGACGGAGTGGCTAATTCATCCTCAAAAGCCACCTGGATTCACCACCTGGGACCTGTTCTGCGACCACGGTGATTTTTAGAGATCCCAGGTCTAAGCTGATGGTCAGTCCTCGGGGACCGTGGCAACGCCCGGTGAGTGGGCATCGTCAAGACTGCTCAGCTGTGGGACTTGGTCTGTCCCCTGCCCTCATCTGTCTCCTTTGCAATTCCAGAGCCGAACACGGTCAGCTACAGCCAGTCCAGCCTGATCCACCTGGTGGGGCCCTCGGACTGCACGCTGCACGGCTTCGTGCACGGAGGTAAGGAGCGGCCCCCGCGTCGTCCCTCCCCACTCGCCGGCTGGCCCGGGTCAGGCTCTCGTGTTGGTGGCGCGCACAGCTGAACCTTTTGGAGGCTGCGTGATGAATTGCTGAGCCTGTTTTTGAGACTGGGCACGGAGGTTGGATGGAAGACTGTCCCGACAGAGGTCCGTGCTCTTAAGCGCTGTCTCCGTCCTTCACGTGCCGGGCCCCGTGCAGGCGGCACCGCGCACCCGCTCCCACGCACTCAGGACGCTGAAGCTGCTTCCTTCAGCACAGGCCCGTTTTTCAACGTGTATTTAAGGAATGTGCGCGATGCCAATTTTAGTAGGGATTTTGTGCCCACGGTTTTAAAAAAAGTCTAACACTTTTAGCAAGTCCCATGATCTCTCCTGGTGCATAGAATTCAGCAGGCGTGAGGGACAAAGCGGCCACCGCACTGGAACTGAGGATGCGGCCCCTCCCAGTGCCTGCCTCCCTGCAGCAGGAGCGCTGGGCACCAGGAGTGGGAGGGGACCCATTCGATGAAAGTCCTCTCCGAGCTGCCTTGGAGCTCCGCAGGAGAACTCGGTGGCTGGGCCGAGCAGAATTTGCTTTCATTCAGTCATTTTGCGCTGTGCCCATGGTTTTGGCACACTGCTCCCGTGCCCTGTATTCTGTGGTTTTCACACGTTGGGTGGCCTTGACCTGGAGGCCTAGCCCTTGCCCTGCCCCCGACACACACACACACACACACACACACACACACACACACACACACACCTTGGCAATGCTAACCTTGGGCTTCTGCCTTCCCCGAGTCCTGTGTGGACTGGGCAGAGTTCTCCTTCCTGCTCTTGAAAGTGCTGGGGTCACAGCCCAAAAAGGTCATTGTCGCTTCGTGCCCTCCCCCCATTGTTGGCCGTACACCTGAAAGGTGACCCAGGGACGTGTGGGGGGGATGCTTAGGTGTGTGTGGCCGTCGATACCTTATAAATGCATCCAGACGCCCAAACTTGATGAAAACGCTCAGTAGGAATAGGAACTGACAAGGCTTCTTGAACGGGATGAAGCACATCACGAGGGAGCTCGGAGGACCTTGCCCTGCACTCAGAAATAAAGGCAGGGCACCCACCCTCCCTCTCCACCAGGTGACATCATTTGGGAGCTTTCAGCCAAGGCAGCTAAACAGGAGGGAAAGTTGGGAGGCTCAGGAACTGGCGGAAGAGAAGGGAAGCTGCCTGTCTGTCTGTGCAGACAGCATAGTAACACACTTGGAGAACCGAGATCCTGTGATAAAATAACTCAGACAGTGAAAGAATTCAGTAAGGTAGCAGCACTTTAAAAAACTCGCCTGAAATAGAAAAATGACTTCTCGTTGTTTGGGGGTGTGTTCTGTTTGCAAAGGTGTTTATGTCTCAAATTTAAACTATACTATGAAACATTGCTTCTCGGTAATTTGGTGAAAAGGTGGCGTTTGTTTTTGGTTCCCTTCATTTGATTCCTTTTCTTAAAGGTCTTGCTTGTTCTTGTTCCGTTGACTCTTTGCTCCGACTCATTTCCTCTGGGGCTCTCCTCGCCCGGCCCTCCGCTGGCTGGTTCCACGTGGCCGGGACCGTTGCTGCCCACAGCCGGCCAGAGGCCAGAAGGCAACACACTCCCCAGGTCCGGGTGGCGGTGGCCACTCCTGGGAGCGGGAGGCCCTCAGCCTGGGTGGTTGCCAGGAGTTCAAAATTGTTTTCAACCGAAGTAGTCTGTGCAAACGACCCAGATGGCTCTTGACGGCGCACAGCTGCCCTGGTCCTCCCTCTGCTGCGGGCCTCCCACTTCGCAGCCGCGGCCGCTGCTGCTGGGTCAGCCCCCGCCACTCCAGAGCGTCTTCGGGTTCGGCAGTTCCAGGTGTCTGCCCTGTGAACGCACTCGTGCTGGGCCAAGTAGGGCACTAGGACTGCGTGGCTGTGTGGCTGCCGCAGCAGCTCCGTCATCGCCTCAGCCCGCTCTCGTGCGCCACGCCACCCACCCCCAGCAGCTCCGTAAATGCTTCTCTCGCCGTCTTGTCTGCCAGGTAGCTGAGGGTGCCAGCACTTCCCCGGAGAGATCCGCCCTTCGCACTCCCTCCAGTTTGCTCTGCCTGCTTCTGCGCCCTCTGCACTGTTCTCCTGAGACAGCCTCGGCCTCTCCCTGGGGCTGCCTGCCCTCACTCCGGTCCTCTCGTGGTTCCCTGCAAAAGGCAGGTGGTTACCAGAACCGGGGCCCAGCTGCCGCACTGAAGGCCCTGGTCAGCATCGGCTTCAGTGAGAGCGACGGGGGTGCAGGGCTGACGGGGCGGCCTGTGGTGTCGGGGGCCCAGGAGCCCTCCACTATGTGCTGCTGTCCCTGGGGTCTGCCCTCTGTGTGGTGCACGAAGACGCATGTCTGTGGCAGGGCTCCAAGCGCAAAGCCGCGCAGGGCACCCGGGCGAGGCCCTGCGCCACGCCTGCCTGGGGAGGGAGGGCCCAGCTGGGCAGGTGGGGTTCTGTTGAGTCCTGGAGTTACCGTGGGGGACGGGAGGAACCAGGGAGCTGTCCTCTGTCGTGGGCGTGGGAGTTTCTGCGAACCTGCCTGTGCTGGACATGTCCTGGCTGGCCCGGCATTCTCCCCCAGGACACAGAGGCGCTTGCGACGTCACCTCCAGTGCCCAAGGTTCAGGTGGTTCGGTGACCCGGGGCCTCCAAAACTCACCGCTGGGTGGCACTTGTCTTAGCAAACGCAGAGGCCAGGTCCTCCCACCCCACTCCCTCGCCCTGTGGAGAGCACTGGACACAGCTGACTGCCTCCCCTGCAATCCCCCGGGTCCCCTGCCCCCAACTCTCTGAAACCGTGACGGGGGGGCCTGGCCAGTTTGGAGCCTGCCTGCACCCTGCCCCAGTCACATCGGGGCAGGGGATGACCGCATGGCACAGCGAGAGTGGCCACTGACCAGCTGTCGCTTCAGAACGCAGGAGCCTGGGGCAAGCGTTTTCTGCCCTGAGCTGCCTGGGGTCTGAAATCGGGGCATTGGTCTGGGCCCTGGGCTCTGCGGGTTGGGGCGGTGCTGGCTGTGCTGGGGTCCCTGACCACCAGGGCACCCGGCTCTGCAGGTCACTATGGTGGAAAGAGCAACGGGGTAGTGACTGTCACGTCACTGGGGCTCCCCTGTCACAGCTGTCTAGGCAGATGCAGCCCCAAGGGGCAGCCACCAGAGGCCGCCTTCTCTCCCCTGGTCCCCACCTCCACCCCAGCACCTCCACTCCCTTTGTGGCTCAGCACTGTGGGCAGCTGTCTCCACGCTGGCCCTCCAGCCCTCTCAGCTGGCACCTGCGGCACCTGCTCCCAAGGCTCCCTCCTGTTGGGACGCCTCTGCAGTGACCGAAGCCATGGGTGTCCGGCCGCTCCTCTCCACTCCTTCCCGAGGCCTGGGGATGGCCCCTCCCAGCTTTTTGTCCCCTTTCCATCCTCCATCGGGTGCCTGGGCCCCGTCCTCGAACCCTGGGCCCCACCTGGTCTCCTGCTGCCCTCGGCCGGTGGCCCAATCGTTGGTAGCTCCCGCTGCCTCCTCAGGGCCCCCCAGGCACAGCTGCGGGCTCCCCAGCTTGGCGACGGACTCCAGCTCTTCTCTGGCCTCTCCCTTCAAAACATTCCAGGACCTGAGTTCTCACCTGCGCCGATGCTCCAGGCCTGCCCAGTACAGGGAGGCAGCCTCTCACCGCGCTGCGGTCTCCTCTGCCTGGGCTGCGGTCCCCTAAGCAACTATGCAGTGGCCTCATTTTCTTCAGGTGTCTGGAGAAAAGGCGGCCTTTCCAGACCACCTGTGTCACAGACCCCCACCGGACCCTGCTTACCTGTGTGCCGGAGCACCGACCACTCCCCGACAGGTGTTTCTCCTGGGGCCCGCCACCCCCACGGCCTGGAGGCTCACAGGGTGGGGACTTCGGTCTGTCCTGTTCTTTGCATCTTCCGCAGCACCAGGCACAGGGCCTGGCTCTGTGCAGAATGAGTGGCTGGGAAGAGTGAAGATGGCCCCTGTGTGGGAGGGAGGACGGCAGGACCGGGAGGGGCGCAGTGGGTAAGCCGCCACCGGAGCAGCGTGTGCTAAGGCCCGGGAACGCGGCTGAGTGTGACGCATGCAAGTGGCTGGCTGCCCAGCTTTGCCAGGACCTGAGGGCAGGAGTGGCAGGAAGGAAGCGCAGGCCCCTGGGTCAGGGGGCGGGAGGAGGCGGGAGCTGCACGAGCAGAGGATATCCTCGAGGTGCGGTGCAGGGTGAGGCCTCCCACCGGGGGCTCGGGGTCTGGGCTGGAGGGGGTGTGTGTGTACTTGGGGGGGGCTGATTTCACCAAAAGTACGGAACGAGGTACAGACGCTCCCTGCCAGGTTGGTGACCTCATTTGGCGGAGCTCCCACACGTAGACAGTGTGGCCGGCCCTTGGGGGGGAGAGGAAGCATGGGGACAGGTGGGCGGGTTTTCTCCTAGTGAGGAGCGCCTGGCCTTGAGGGGTCCGGGCAGCCGCCAGTGCTGGGTGAAGCCGAGCGTCGCTGGGTCACAGCAGCGCGCCCTCTGGTTCCTTTCTAAGAACCTCGGCTTTTGAAAACATCATTCGCTGCAGTGAATGCTTCAAAGAATGGCTTCATGTCCTAGAGGGGGGCGGGGGAGTGGACCTAGAGGGACCAGTCACAGCCCTGGCCCCTGCCCCTCCTGCCTGCCCCCGGTGGCTTTGTGTTCCCTGGTCCAAGGGCACGGTGATGTCTCTCCCGGGAACGGCTGTCCTGCCCGTGCTGGTCTTCTCGGCGGCCTCCTCGCCTGGGGGACACGTGTAGCTTGGGCCCTGCCAGCCAGTGCTGCCTCTCTCCTGCACGTTCAAAACGTTTTGCTTGAGGGGCCTGGTTGGCCACACAGCACGAGCACACCCTTGTGTACAACACGCGGGGGCGGCTGGTGTTGGTGCTGCAGCGATTCCCTTTGGCTTCCGCTTTAGCTGTGACTGTTAGGGACACACATGGCAGGTGTGCTTGTCCCCTGAGAGTCTTTCCTATTCCCCGTGACCATTCTTAAACATCACCCTTCACCCTGGACTTCAGTTGAGCCTCCTCTGAGGGAACTGACATCCACTGGGAAGGATCTTGGCCTTCAAAGAAGTGACCTTGACCTCACCCACCGCGAGTGGACTCCAGGCAGGCCCTCACTTCCCCAGAGCGGGGGTGTGAGGAAGAGCGTGGTCTCATGGCAGTTGGGGACAAGAATTCTCCTGCCCCACTCCCCTGCTGCCTCAGCCGGCACAGGGAAAGTGCTCTTGCTCCACCGGCGGTGGGCAGATTCCCTGGCGGCTTCTCCGAGTGGGAGGGAGAAAACCCCGCCCCTGGTTCCCCGGTGCTCCTGGCGCCTGGGGTTGCTGTCCACTGGGAGGGCCTCCGCCAGCACTCCCAGTTTTGACATCTGCCTAGAAACCCATCGTCTTTGCTGCACTGTGCGTTAATTACCCAAAATAATCCTTATTAATTACCTTAATTAGTGTTCCTCTGTCCTCGGTCCCGCCTCACAGAGGTGCCCGCAGGTCCGTCTGCACCTGGGAGGGAGAAGGCAGACAGTGTGTGGGGGCTGTTGCTCAGCCAGCTCTGAGAATCCCCCCCTTGTCATTAGCAAAGAGTGGGCTTATGAAAACAAGACAAACCTACTACCATGTAGGAGGCTGGCTCCCACACTCCGTCACTTGGGATCTGATATAGAAATGGGGGCATTTCGGATGCCACCCACAGTGCCGCCAGCACCCTGGGCTCCGAGCTGCCGACAGCCGCTTCGAGCCTGTGGGCTCTGGGAGCCCAGCCAGCCCTGCGGGCCTGGGGCCGGAAAGCGGGGCGTCTGCTTTTCAGGCAGTCCGCCTGTGTCGCTACCTGTGAAAACAAAAACAAAACCTGTAAGCAGTTGGATGTCAAGTTCAAAAATAGCTTTGCTACCCAGTGTTCAGCTTCACGTGAGTGCCCGGGAGGTCTTATGCTCCCTCCCCGTGACTCCTGAAGTGAACGCAGCCTCCGGGGAGCGCAGACCCTGCGCGGTGTGCGGTGACCCCTTACGTGGAGAACCCGGGTGGGGGGTGCCGCACGCAACGGGGGCTGCCCTTGGGCAAAGCTGTTCTCCGTTGTCAGCAGCTCCCGTGGTGCCCGAATGGGGAGGAATTGATGAGGTTTTGAACTGAAGTGTAAGAAAGGGAAGGGGAGCTGGATGGTGGCCCCAGTGTCAGAGGGCTGGTGGCTCCCTCTGGCAGGACAGGGGCCTAGACGGACGGAGTTAGGAGGAAACCAGGTGCAAGCCAGGCAGGCGGGTTTGCACTCTTTTCTTTTTTAACAAAATGCGGTTTTCTCAGTGGACACATCAGTTGTAATCTCTTGTGTCCCAGCCATAGACGCTGTGTTTTGTGATAATTTTTGCGAGCACGCATGATGGGATGAAGTCATGTGGGTTTCTAACAGTCTGAGCTCCAGTTGAGCTGCCCCTATTCCTTAGCGACTGCGTCTCAGAACCAGCCCCGCCCACCGACAGGCTGGGGGGCGGAGCAGAAGTCGACAGCTACTCAGTAGCCACCAGAGCACGCTTTGGGACCACACAGGACCGCAAGGGACCATGGCTGCCCTTCCCTGTCTCCACATCCACCGCAGCAACAGTGGCGTGCTGTTTGTGACACAGACGCAGGCGTGGTTTCCAGTGAAGCCTCTTTGCTCCTTCATAAATTCCCGCTGCCATGTCTCGTCCCCCAGCTTCCTCCCTCAGACCCCACACAGCCAGAGACCCCCTTTCCGAGGCACGCGAGTCGCCCACGTAGTGAGCCCCAAAGTTCACCTTGCTGTCACTTCCCCCGTTCCTGCCGCGCACTTCCTGGGAAGTGCTGTGAATGGAGGTGGGCGAGGTGGTCAGGAGGAGAGCCCATGGAGCCCCAGGCTCCAGGCTCCCTGTCCAGGGAGCAGGCCCCATGCTTTCCAGATGCCCGTTGTCCCCCACTGCAGCTCCCCGTGGCCAGAACCAACCCCCAATGTTACACAGACAACCCTGACCTCAGCCTGTGTGTGTGTCAGCCTTCCTGTGTGACGTAGGTGTATTGTGTCAGGTCTGCAGCCAATCGCTGCTCCTTCCTCTGTCCCCTGCTCCCCTTTGATGCGCTGTGGGCCCAGGAGGGGCTTCTCTTTCAACCTCACTGCCAACAGCCGAAGCAAGGCCATTTCGAGTGCCAGTTTTGTTTCCTGACAAGTCGCCTAGGCCACCTGGCTTTGGGTCTCGGTGGTTCAGATGAACAGCCGTGTCCTGGCCACGCCTGTCACTGAGCCGGACTGTTGCCCAAGTGCCAGCCCAGCAGCTGTGGGAGCTGCTTGCTGGTGTGGACCCCCCCTCCAGCACCCTTTCCTGACCGCTGTGTGCAACTTTCAGAGTTGGGCAGGGGCACGAGGACCACAAAGCTTGTCCCCACCTGGTGCTTGCTTCCATGTCACCCGTGGTGCAGAGGGCCTGGGGGCTGGACCAGGCTGAAGCGGGCCCCTGACCTTGGGAGCTCGCCTAGCTGCCCAGACCTGCCCTGTGCCTGCCCCCGCCCGGGCTCAGGGCCTGGGGGCTGGCTCACGCTCCGGCTCTTGCTCTATTATTAGTAACAGTGATGTCCCTTGTGGAATCTCTACCAGCATTTCAGATAAGTGGGGCAAAAATCCAGGTTGGAGCGGAATCGAACTTCTTCCATTTGTGTCTCTGTTCTTACTAGCTTTGCCTTTCAGGAACACAGAGAAGGGGCTCATTGCACTTTCTGCGTTTTAAACATTAAGTCCAGTTCAGACCATTCGTTCCCTTCCCACCTCCTTACCCTCTTCCCTGCCCAGCTGGACCCCTGAGGCGACGGCACACCTGCTGGCCCAAGCTGGCCACACTGGGTCCATGACCTTCCACCCGCCCCTCTCACCGTGACCTTGAACTCCCTTTTCTGTAGTCAGACCACAGTTAGGAATGCCACTTGGATCTTCATCTTCTCAGTCCTGGGTGCAGAGGCCTCTGGTGCCCTGTGGTCACGGGTGGGTCCCTGCTCCGCCCCGAACGGGTTCTGTGCCTCTGGACTCGTCTCTCTGTGCCTCCTACCGTGAGAATTGGGGACCGGGATGGGCCCACCCACAGGGCTGCTGTCCGGGAGGGGCCAGGTTCATTCATCCTCCACTCACCCTGCATTCAGTGCTGGTTGAGAGCCCACCCTGGAGCAGGCACTGGGGGTCCCTTAGAGAATGAAGCAGGGCTCCCCCTCAGGAGCTGACCTCCCAGCCCGAGCGTCTGCATGTGCTCCACCAGGGCTGCGGAGCCCTCGGAAGCCGCTGCTGCGCTCACTGCCCCTGCAGCCAGCAAGGGCAGGGGCCTCGGGGTGGACCGAGGCAAAGCTGCCCATGCCATTTCCAGCACCTGCCTCACCCGCCGGAGACTCCTTGTGAAGCACATTGAGACCCCTTGTCTCGGCCTTCTGAGTGCTGCACTGCTGGCAGCCAGTTGTCACCCTGCCCAGCCTGGCTGCCCCAGCCTCGGTTGTCCCCCAGCCTCTGTTGCCCAGGGACAAACCTGGCCCCTGCTATTTCTTCCTGTCAAGAGATCCACCTGTTCTGTTAATTAAACTTTGGGACATTGAAACACAGGCTTAGGGCAGATGATTGGATAGAAAGCATTGCTCTATTCATTTACCTCCCAGCCTACAAAAATGAAAAAAAAAAAGGAGAAAAAAAAGATCCATTTCGTTTCCCCAGCATTTCATTTGCACTCGCTTTAGACTGGACCTCCAGGTGACCTTGGCCTTGCTCCTTTGGAGACCCCGGGTGCTGGCCCTTCCCACGGAGACTGGGCTTGCAGTGCCCGAGTGTCCCAGCCCCACCGGCTCAGGCATCGCTGCCACCAGCCATCGGGGTCTTCCCCCAGGAGCAGTCGTGGCAATAAGGGAACAGAGGGACAGACACACTTTCGATCAGAAACACTAATTGTGACGATTAATTAATCCTGCTTCAACAGCAGCTTTGTTCAATGACTTTTTAAAAGATTTTATTTATTTATTTTTAGAGAGGGAGAAAGAGAGGAAGGGAGAGAGAGGGAGAGAAACATCAGTGTGCAGTTGCCTCTCGAGCGCCCCCTACTGGGGACCTGGTCTGCAACCCAGGCATGTGCCCTGACTGGGGACGGGAGTGGCCACCCTTTGGTTTGCAGGCTGGTGCTCAATCTACTAAGCCACACCAGCCAGGGCCAAGAACACTAATTTTAAAAACCAGACCTTTTTACTCTGGAGATGCTCGGGTATATGGACAGGTGGAGAGCAGCCCGCTGCCCTCCCGTAGCGTCTTCCGCTATATTTGCGCCAGGCTCCGGTCCTCCGCAGGAGCCTCCCTCCTTTTTAGGTACAGTGTGTTCTGTTCTCCCCACATAGGGAAGGGCTTTAATTAATCTGGTGTCTGGAAATAGATTTCTCATAAACATGCAGATTCCAGGCTGGTAGCCCGGGCCCCTCATCCCTGGGGTGCGGGGTGGGCACTGGCCAGGGCCCAGCAACATCCCTTCTACGGAAGCCCCGACCCCAGGCTCCTGGTCCCCGCCCAGCCCCACAGGCATCTGCCTCCTAGAGCCCTTCCTTAAACTCCCTTCCCTGGGAGCCCGGCTTCCACGGGTGGGCTGAGCTGGTTTTCTGCCTCTGTGGCCGTTCGGAAGCCCTCCTGCCTCCCAGGATGCGTCTCCGTAGCTGTCCGAGATTTTCCACAGCCGTCAGCACGGTTGGTGTCGTGCTGCTCAGTGGCCGAATCTTGGCCACTGCATGCAGTTCAGCCTAATGATAGGGCTTAAGATTTGAGTATGAAATCAGTATAATATTGGGTTGTACCGGGAAGGGAGCAAGATCGGGGGTTGGCGGAGTAGCACGCATGCAGTCGGGCCCCCTCCAGTGCCGCCTCCCGTGACCCCACACTCCTGGTCCTGCTCTTTCATAGAGCGGCTTCCCCATGGTGTGACCCTCATGTCCTGCGAGCCGCCCATTACCAGGCACCAACCTTCAGTGCAGAGCCACACTGCCACCACCTCATCAATTTCAGAGTGTTTCTGCACCCCAGCCCCCCGACAGTGAAACCACGTGGTGTCTGGCCTTTGCATCAGCTGCTCTCACTCAGTGTCACGTTAAGGTTGCTCCGTGTTGTGCCCAGTCAGGACATCGTTTCTTTCTTTTTTTTTTTTGCCAGTGATGTTCCACAGTGCACATGGGCCTTGCTTCCTTCTCCGTCCTGGCTGTTGGGAGTAATGCAGTTGTGAAATGTGGGAGCAACTGTGTGTACATGTTTGCGTTCTCTCGGGCGTGTACCCAGGAGTGGAACCACTGAGTTCTGTGGTGACTGTGGGGTGGGCCTCTGTGAAACCCCTGCTCCCAAAGCAGCTGCCGCTGCACCGTCCAGGCTCTGAGTCCCCCACGTTCTCACCGACACTTGGTGTCTGTCTGGCTTTGGTGCAGCCTCTCAGTGGATGACAAAACTTTCCCGGCAGGACGAGGTCTCTGTAGAGGTTGGGAAAAGGGTCCTCACTTTGGTACTGGCCTGGAACATCAGCTGGGGTCATTTTCAAATGCTCCCAGTGGCCTCGGTCCTGCCGCACGTTCTCACTGTGCGGCCCCCGCTGGTGGGTTTCAGGCTTGTTTTTTATGCCTCATTTCCAGGGTGGGAACTAGTCTTGCCCCCCACCCCCAGGTCTAATCTGCCCCATGCCTCTTCTCTGCGCAGGTGTCACCATGAAGCTTATGGATGAGGTGGCCGGGATCGTGGCCGCACGTCACTGCAAGACCAACATAGTTACAGCTTCCGTGGACGCCATTAACTTTCACGACAAGATCAGAAAAGGTAACGGAACCGTGCCAACAAGGTGCTGGGCCTTGCCTGCCGCTGCTTGGGCCCTGATGCCTGCGCACTGGCTGCGGGTAACGGGAAGCGTCCCTGAGCCCAGGGCTCGTTGATTTGCCTTTTCGATCTGGTGACATCTGACATTCCAGTGTGACTGGAGCCTTGTCCTGCTCAAGAGTGGCATGCACTCACCCTTTAAAATGCCCCTGAACTGAGCAAGCGGAGCCCTTTAGAGACCCCAGGCTCACAGCAGCCATGGCCATTGCCACCAGATTGCGTGGCACCCACTGCCTCTCCTCAGGCGACTGGCCTGTGGTATGAGCCGAGGTGGGTCTGTGCCCAGCAGCCTGCCCGCCCCACCCACCGGGCAGTGCTGGCGTTTGCTACTTTTCCCGACACTCATGAAGTCCTGGTGACCCGGCCCGAGTGGTACTTGGGTGCTTGTAGGGTTTGGGGAAGGACAGTCTGCTGCCCCGGTCCCCTCTGCTTTGCAGGCCCATGCTTTACTATGGGTGTTTGCCGAAGGCGTGGACCACAGTGTCATTGTAGAATCTGCCCACACCGGCGGGCCTCGTCCACCCTGGCCCATCCTTTGTGGCCTGTGGTGTTGTGTACCTTGCTGGCAGGAATTTCGGGAAAGAACACCAGGGCTCTTTTTCTGGAACGACTCCTGTGAGTCGCTGTTACAGCTTCCAAACCCCAGTGGAAAGCACATGGACTTTCCACGGAGCTGGCCCTGTCCAGTGTCACCCCCACCCCCATGCCCTTGGAGAGCTGCTGGCTAAAGAAAAGGCCAGTTTCCTGACGCCATCCTGCTTGTCAGCTGCAATTTGCTGTTGGTGCTGTTCCCAGAGATGCAAAGCTGGCTTCGGTCACAAAGGAAGAACTTTGGAGGCCCCGGCTGTGTGCCTTCCCTCCCACCTGACCAGAGTTTACTCTCCAGGGGGAGGTCTGGGGGTGGCTGGTTGCCAGGGCGACCATGGACTCGTGTCTAGGGACTGGTTTGGCAGCCTGGACAGCAGGGCAGCCGCTGTGGGGACCCGCTTCACACAGACCTTACTTTCCTAAGAGCTGCTTTTGTTCCGGAACACAGAGAAAGAGGCCTTCATTTTCAGAAGCCTCATTTCTGGCCGGCGTCCCAGGCAGACAGTGCCCTCAGGCGCTGGGGCGAGGGGTGCCCCTGAGGCTGGGGGTCCCAGCCCAGCCTCGTGCTTGGCCGGCCCGGGGGCCCCTGGGGAGCAGAAACCATCTGTGTTTCCTCAGGTCGAGTCTTGCTCTGTGGGTGAGGAGCTTGGGCCGCGGGGAGCTCGGCCTGTTTCTGGGCTGGTGCCCCAGGGGCCATCAGGCTCCGTCACGCCGAATCGCTGTTTCCCAGAGGAAGGTCCCCGTGTGCAGGAAACTGTAATTGAAAAGAAAGAGAGGCCCCTCCCCGCCGCCACTGACAGGTCAGAATACAGAGATTCCTTCCCAAAGCCAAAATGCTCAGTCAGCACCCACAGCCCAGCCCCTTCGCCTCTCAGAGATAGGGACACCCTCGTTCTGGCAAGTCGCAGGCTTTGACACAAGGCGTCTGGCTGCAGAGAGGTGCGTGGCAGCTGGATCACTCGGTGGGGTCGTTGAGGGCCCGGTACCTGAAATGGGGGCGTCCAGTTCTGCTGCCGCAAGGGAGAGACCCCACGGTGCACCCGGGGGCTCCGCATGGGACGGCGTGCCCGTGTCTCCGACGTAACGCCACTGGTCCTTGATTTCGTGGCCTTCCTTCCCCAGAAATGGCGGTATCCGGCCCAAAGTGCTGCCTGTAAGTATGAAGCTGAGTGTGGCATGGAACCTTCTGGAACTGTATCATTGGAATAACTGCTCCTGCTTTTAGCCTGCCCACACATCCCTAACAGTCACCGCCTCGCCCCGGCTCATCCGTCTTTTGTGGTCTTAGACATGCCTGTGGGCCTGTCTCCAAGGGGCCAGGACACGGGCCCCTGCAGGTGTTAAAGGGCTCCCGCAGCTGGCACTGCACGTGGGGAGCGGGTCCCAGTGCTGCATGCTGGACTCGGGCAGGGCAGGGGTCAGCCCTCCTGCTGGAGGCCCCCCGAGGGTTTGTGCTGCCTCTTAGTCCAAACCAGCACCAGCAGGGATGGTAGCAGCCATTCTGAGTCGGCCCCTGGCTCATTTCCTGCCATCCCCGCAGTGACTCCGTGCAGTGAGGAGCTGAGCCACAGGAAGGCCTGTTGGCCGCGGGATGTGGGACAGAGAGAGGCTCCAGGTCAGGGAGCAGCTGCCAGGCCGGGTGCTCCGGACCCAGCGTAGGGGGAGTGCAGAGAGTGCGGCTCAGGTGGGGGGAGAGGACGCCTGGGGCTGAGTTATGGGAACACAGGACTGGAGTCTCTGTCATGGCCCCTTGGGGCTACCGCCGGGAGGTGGGTGCACTTGGGGCCTCTGAGCACAGGTGGCTTGAGGTGTGCCTCAGGAAGACAGGTGTGCACTGCTCAGGGGAGGGCCTGGAAAGGTCCTGCGCAGATGGGGTGGCCAGTGAGCACAGGCTGCACGGGCTGAAGTGTGGACGGGGCCTCGGGGCATGTGGGACCACGGTCAGCGGTTGCTTGGCTGCTTGGCCAAACCAAAGAACGTGAGCCCCTCAGACCAGCCTCGGGGACCTTGCAGCCAGAGAACCTGGAAGGGGCCCAGGAGGTGACAGAAAGGTCTCCAGCAGGGCTCAGTGCAGCAAGGGAGCTGCCATGTGGCTCTGTTGGGCGCCAGCAAAGCCACAGTGTGGACAGTGCAGGCTGCAGGGACAGAGCCAGCTCCCGTAGGGCCATGGGGCCGCCAGCAGGTTGGGGGCTGCCCTGGGATGCAGGAGTGACTGGAGGCATTTTCCCAGCAGACACCGCCACTCCAGGGGACAGGCCCACCCAGGCTAGGGGCCAGGTGATGGCCCCAAGACCCCTTCAGGTCTGACGCCTTCCATAGGGTTTGGGGAAGGACAGTCTGCTGCCCCGGTCCCCTCTGCTTTGCAGGCCCATGCTTTACTGTGGGTGTTTGCCGAAGCCAAGGCGTGGACCACAGTGTCATTGTAGAATCTGCCCACACCGGCGGGCCTCGTCCACCCCGGCCCATCCTTTGTGGCCTGTGGTGTTGTGTACCTTGCTTTCCGTAGATGATAAGAGCCTGTCTGCTCACTGGGCAGGTGAGCACTCACAGCACTAATGTTTTGCTGTTTCTGCGTCTTAGTAGCTGTTAAAACCACGTGTGCTGCCTAACCAGGTGTCTTCCCACATCCTCAGTGCACTGGGCCCCTCCACCCTGTCCCCTCACCTGCCACCTGTGCCCTGCAGGGTGCGTCATTACCATCTCTGGGCGCATGACCTTCACGAGCAACAAATCCATGGAGATCGAGGTCCTGGTGGACGCCGACCCCGTGGTGGACAACTCACTGAAGCGCTACCGGGCCGCCAGTGCCTTCTTCACCTACGTGTCCCTGAGCCCGGAGGGCAGATCGCTGCCCGTGCCCCAGCTCCTGGTGAGTGGCCCCTCCCTGCGCGCCGGGCTGCCAGGGGAACCCAAGTGACATGAGCCCTCTCTGGGCCTCAGGGCAGGTCAGACGTGAGGGCCCTCGGAGGACCGTGGGGGTGGGACCGAATAGACTGGGCGAGAGAGATACCTGCCCGGGCTTGTCGTCGGCACTCCCTCTTGAGGGTGCACTTGGCACCCCGGGGCTCCTGCCACTGCTCATGTGCTGGGAACCCCCGGGTGGACCCCGGAGCTGAGCCTGCCAGACCCCCACGCTGCTGCGGGGCGGAGTGTGCGGACCCTGAGGCCCTTCCCTGCCTCGCCACCTGGCCAGACTCTGCCCTGGGTACCGAGAGGGACTCTCAGGCCCAGAGACAGACCCTGGAGGGCCACAGCCCCCGCGGGCTCGCCTGGCCGTGGCTAGGGCTCCGCGCTTTTGGTCTTGGATGACCAGGATCGAGTGGCTGCGTCTGGGCTGCGTGGGCGTGGACTTCGAGGACGGCTGTGGGGTGGGCGGCCTTGCCAGGGCTTCTTCAGTGGCAAACGCAAGGTTGGGCTCCTGGGCTCCCGCCTCCCCCGACACCCCCCACTGCCTCGCCTGCATGGCCCTGGGGCCACCACAGCCTCCCGGGCCCTGCCTCCTCCGCACTCCCACACCGCGTTCCTCCGAGCGCCAGGCTCTGTCTCCCGCAGCTGTGGGGTCCCGTCACCGCCCTGCCCAAAGCTTCTGGGGTCCTGGTGCATTTAGCATAAAGTCCAAGTCCCTGCCACCCACCCAGCCTGCTCCCCACCACGTACAGCCTCCCCGCTGCTCGGGCCTCCTGCCCCACTTGGGGCCAAATCAGCACCACAGTCTGGGCCTGACGTCACCTCCTCAGAGGAGTGCCAGCCCCCATCGGGCACCCCAGTGGCCCCCGTCTCCTCCCTGCCCTGCTTTCTCCAGAGCCCCACCCACTGCCACACTCGGGGCGGCTGATCAGTAGTCGGTAGTCCGTCCGGCCCCTGGACCGAGAGCTCTGAGGCCCGGAGAGTGTTTGCTCCTAATGAGTCGCTAGGGCTTGGAACAGCCTTGGCAGGTAGTGGGAACTCTGAAAAAGACGCGTGCATCCCACTGTGTGTAAGGCCTGGCCAAGTCTGGGAGTAGACAGGCTGTGTGGGTGCGCCTGGCAGGTGGCCTCCCGGCTGGCAGCCCCAGGGGATGTGCTGCCAGGGCGTGGGCGGCCCCGGGGAGATGGGGGCGGGGTGCCAGGCTCAGTGCTGGAGGGCTGGAGCCTGGATCCCAGCAACTTGGCCCGCCCGACACCGCGGGAGCCAGAGGCGGCCAAGCGTTGAAGGCACCCGCCCGACACCGCGGGAGCCAGAGGCGGCCAAGCGTTCAAGGCACCCGGTCGCTGGGTGTTACGTGAGTGGAGGAGGAAGGACTCTGGCAGATGTCCCTTACATCCGATGCTGCTTCCCCAGTGGGTCCCACGACCTCCTCCCCAGGGCAGTCAGGGAAGCGCCCTGCCTGCAGGTCTGGGCCCTCTGTCCGCTTCTCTCAGCCACTCTCCCCCGCCCCCATGACAGGGGCAAGTACCCCCAGACTGCAAGGCCAAGGTTCCTGTGGAAGGCCACACAGGTGGTTGCTCAGAGCCTGGGTTTGGATCCAGCCGTGACTCTCCCTGGCTGGGTGGAGATAGCCTCTGTTCTGCTGCCCGTGAGGTCTCCTGGGACCAGGCTGTGTCTGCCACCAGGGCAGCTCCCCCAGGGCCCAGGAACCCGAAACTCCAAGCTATAGGGGGAGCGGAGCGGCCTGGGCAGAGCAGGGTCTCCAGCACTTGCCGCCTTGGTGGGGGCAGCCCTGCAGGCGCTGAGCCCCGCCTCCAGAAGTACCTGTGCCCCTCCCCCCACCATGCCAACCCTGCGCCTCCTGAGGAAACACTTGTGCCAAATGCTTGTGGGCCACCAACCTGTCGCCCCTAAGGTCTCACTTCCTGCCACAGGCGAGACAAGGCCCCCACTGCCGCTTAGGAGGCTAAGGCTGACCACCTGGCCGGCCGGCCTGCGGCCGGAGGGGGTTGTCTCCCAGTGGCAGCTGAGGCCCCCAGAGGAGCCTCCTGGGAGCCGCTCGCCCACCCTGCTCCTTCTGGGGCCTCGACAGGCCCTGGGCGGTGGGTGGGCCGATGGGCGTCCTCGGGCCACGGGGCAGTGGGGCCCCTGCCGTGCTGAGGAGCCTCAGCTGTTGGGGGACCCTCTCTTGCCCCTGTGGGACCCTCTCTTGCCCCTGTCCCTCCTCCCCTTGCTTTTCCTGGGGCTCCCTTGAGTCAGGGGCAGATCCTGAGACGGGGCGGTGGGGGGGGGCCGGGGCTGCACAAAGGAGGGGTGTGAGCCAGGCCTTGGGGGATGAGGGGCTCCACCAGGCTGGAAGGACGGCAGGCGGGAGCCAGGAGCCTTCCTCAGGCAGGCAGGGTCCCGCTGCCTTTCACACATGCCTGCCGCCTGGCCAGCACAGCTCCGGGTCCTTCCCGGTGAACCTGGGACCTGCCGCAGCATCGCCTCACCCTGCCTGGGGTCTGGGCTCTCCTGTCGGGCTGGGCCCACTCCCTCAGCCTCCCCCTTTCCCTCCAGCGCCTGCCCCTCACCTGCCTCCTGTCAGAGGCTCCTTCCTCCCCACAAGCTCCCCTTCCGGGCCAGAGTCACATGGTGAGCCCAGGGGGCTGCCCTGGGGGGTCTGCCTTGCCACGGGACAGGGCGCCTCTCCCACAGGCCACTCCTCTTCCTGCCCCACCACCCAGCAGCCTTGGCAGGATGGCCCCCACCCGCCCCATCCCTTTGGCTGGTGCTCACGCACCGTCCCCCCCAACCTCCCTGGCCATGACCTTTGCACCAGGTCTCTCCGGGCCTTGGACCACTTCTCGGAACCCTGCCTGCCCCTAGGCCTTCAGATGCAGGCCTGCTGGGGTCTCTCGCAGACCTCGTCTCGTCTTATTCTGGACTGTCACAATGACCCTGGGGCATCTGTTAGCAAGGCTGCCTGCCACCCCCTGCTACATCTCTGACCTGCATACTGAAGTCCCGCCACCCACAGGAATCCTTGACCGATTTTCTCCTGGCCTCCGGCTCTAGCAGGGTGGCCAGGCCAGACCCCTGGACATTCCGTCCGTGTCCTACCCGCCCTTCCCTGCCCTTGGCAGGATGCACTGGCCCTTGGTGATGCCTGGGCTCCCTTGACCCGGACTCTGTTCCACCCCAGCTTGGGCGCTTGGGCCCATGTCCCACCCCTGGACGTCCACTCCCCCACCGACTTGGCCAGCTGTGCCTTGCTCTGCAGGCCCCTGCAGGTGCCTCGCAGACAGTCTGTCCCAAACCGAGCTTACTGTCTCCCCCCGACACCGTCCCCCCGAGAAAAAATTTCCCCTCCTCATGCGTCCTGGGCCTCCGTGAGCCTGGGAACTGGCTGGCTCCTGGCTCCTGCACAGCCCCACACCCAGTGTCTCTACTCCCCTCCCTGCTGCTGGGTCCCGCTCGGCCCGCAGCCCCCAGCCGTCCTCTGTCCTCCACCCCTTCTGCCCTAGAACCAGCGCGGCACCTGCCGCCAGTGAGTTAGCCGGACCTGCCCTTGGCACGGGCCCAGCCACGCCCCATGCTGGCCCCCCCTTCCTGCCCTGGGGCCTCCCACTCTTCTGCCCGGACCCCTTCCCCGGATTTGCCCCCGAGCCAGCGTCTTCCCCGGTTTCTCAGATGTTCGCTCCGTGGAGGCCTTCCCCTCGCTGCTGCCGGGTGCTGGCGCAGAACGTGTTCAGGGAGTGCCGGGGAGCAGTCCCAGGTTTGCCCGCCTTGCCAGCCGCACCTCCACCAGGACAGCCGGACAGTCCCCCGAGGCCCCTGCCCCTGCCGTGGACCCTGCCGGTGCTGTCTGCCCACACGTGCTGGTCTGTGATCCGTACACGCCACTACGGGCGGGCGAGGGTTCTAGGAACTGAGGTATATCAGGGCTCCGTGACTGTCTTTCTCAGACCCCCCCTCGAGAGCTCGTGCCCTGCCAGAGGGAAACAGTGCCTGTTAGATGGTGGCAAAGGGGACAGCAGGAGCCGGGAGGGGGGTGTTTTTGGAGGAAAGCAGTTGAAACTTAAAAGTTCCTTTTAAGGGAGTGAAAGGGTGCATTCCAGTTGGGCCTGGAGTTGGGGGGAGAGGGAGCCGGTTCTGAGGACCACCCGGGTGAAAGGACTGAAGAGAAGGGGTGGCCAGGTGCCTGCGGGGCCCCCCAAATGGGTGAAAGACCAAAGGCAGCCAAGGAGCCTCAATGTGCTCGTTCTGGAAAGGCTGCTACTGAGTGAATGTGGTTGCCTGAGTCTTCGGACCCGCCTGCGGTGCCGGCCGTCGCCATGAGGGGTGCCACCCCCCCTTACTCACCCTAAAACTCCGCCAGCAGGGAGACTAGGGCCCCAGCCGGGAGGGTCGGGGGCTCTGGGATGAAGGCCCGGTGCCCCTGGGCGTGGGCTCCTGAGGAGCGGCCTGTGGTCAAGGCACCGGTGCAGGGGGACCCACGTCCTTCACGGAGCCTGGGAGCCGTGTGCGCCCTGGGATGGGTGCCAGAGCAGGAGGAGGTGCTGGGCATGGCGTGTGGGGGTGTGGGGGCCGACACCTCAAATGAAGGCCCTGGGGACTGAGTCCCTTGGGTGGCAGCGGCCACACCTGCCTGCTGGCTGGCTTCTGTCGGCCCAGGCTGCGGTCTCTCACCAGTTAAAGGTGGTCTTGGGTTCCCCACTGCGGGGCCCTGGGGCCCACCCAGGCTGATAAAAATGGCTGCCAGGTGGGGGAGGACGGCCATGCCCCAGGGCTGGGTGTGCAGCTCCACCCCGACCTCCGTGGCGCTGACACACGTCTGTGTCTCGGAGCACACACGTGTGGCGCGCAGCCTGCGTGCGTGCGTCCTCAGTGGGGCCCGGCCCTCCTCCCCTCCCCACCTGCCCTTGGTCCACGGTTCTTCAGCCTCCTGTCTATTTTTAGCTCCTGTCCCCGGGGCCAGCA